CTCCCACCTTTGCAGCAGAATCTCTCGTGTACTAATCCACATATTTGCCAAAACTATAATGGTTCACTCTCTATTTTCTGCAATAGCCTCAGATTAGAGCAGTGGGATAATTTCCTACTCTGAATGACTGGTTCCCTGTGCCCACCAGATAGCTCAGTCCACCAGGACCTCGTCCAGTCCTGAGGGAGCTGATCCCCATTGAAGACAGCAGACAGCCTGCCAGTGTACTCCCCCTCCTCCCCTGCCTCTCAGAGACCTCCCCGGACAGCTGAGGGTCCTATCCAGCATCCCTTCCTCTGCAGAGCAGCCTCCATCATTCCTCCACCTTCAGCTGGAGACCCCCAGACACTGCCTCACCTCTGAGCAGCCACAGCACCCCTGCCTGTTACAGATTTAGTCATTTAATCATGTCCTACCTCAAAAAAGCACTTAGGTCTCAGAGAAGGGGCTCCTAGCTTCAGTCAGGGATCCATGAATTCCTCAAATTGGTGTTTTATCAAGAAACGTTTTAGTGTGTAGGTGGAATGAGTGCATAAACTAATGTAAAGGAAAATGCTTAAAATACTGAACCATCTTCTGAAGGGACGGATAAGATCTGGATTCCTGGTAGAAGTCATTCTCTCCAGACTTTTACTTTCCATGTGGAATAAAATCACAGCAACCACTAACATGTATAGAGTGATTTACTTACAGCTAAACGTAAGAGTTGTTTAACAGGGACCTTTTTCATAACTTATGCGTCACTTGGTCCTCCAAAGCTTCCAAGTTATGAAAAGGGGAAAGATGATGCTTCTACGTTGCAGACAGGACAGCTCAGGGTGAGAAAGCCCCGGGACAAGGCCAAGTTGCCCGCGCCGGTCTGCGGAGCCTCTGCACTCAGTATGGTGTTCATCAGCCTCCCTGTCCTGGGAGATGGCCTCCACAGGTCAGGAGTGGAAATCAGCGGCCAGTCGAGGACAGAGAAGCCGGGAGGTGTCCCTCCAACCCAACAGCGAAAAGGCCCGGAAAGCCATCAGACCATAGTTCTTCCAAAGCCGCTGCGCAGTCCCGGGCAGCCGAGCAGCCTGGACCGCGCAGAACGACCCCAGCGCAGGCCGGAGCCCAGGCTCGCGTGGAGCAGGCGCAGAGGAGAAGGCGCCGCACGCCCAGGAGGACTCACATCCGGCGTTTGACAAAGGCGGACGCCACTCGGGCCGCCCCGAGGCTGCAGAGGCCGGCGAGCCCTGTGCGCCCGGAGCGCGTCCCCTGCAGGAGCCGCCGTGAGCTCCACTGGCCCTGCGGACTGGCGGGCGGCTCCCAGGACGCTCCTGGGTGCAGGCGGGGCGCGCTCAGCTGGAGGAAAGGCGCGGACTCCACCCAGGCCTTTCCCGCCTGCGGAGCCGATGCCACCCGGTGGGGGCAGCAGACCTGCTGTCAGCAGTTCGCAGGCAGATGGGCTGCGGCGGGAGAGGTGAAGGGGAAGTGCCCACTCCTGGAGGAGAAGCATGAAACGGCTGCACTCAGACCCCTGAGGATCCCCTTCATCCCCCACAGGACCCACCACCCACACGGGCAGCGGGGAGCTGTGGTGAGAGGAAGGGCAGGTGGCCGAGAAAGCCTGGACTGTGCGTCCCAGCAACGTGGGCTTCTCAGACTGGGGCTGCTTGGAGAACCAAGTCTGCCCACCCTCAACTTTCAGCCCCCAGGAGACCACCAGACACAGTCGGTTGAGGAGAAAAAGCCCCAGGGCCGCCAGTGGGTGCAGATGCACAGGGAAGGCTGAAGATAGTGCCCCACAAGGTCACATAAGGTCACACTGAAGGCACCTGAAGCCAATGAGGCCAGGAAGGGTGCCATGGACAACACAGCTCAAGCCCAGCTCACCTCTGACCAGACTGACTCAGCACCACACCGAGGCCTGAGAGGAGGGGAGCTGAAGGCCGTGCATTACCACATGTGCCTCAGGCCCTGCTGCTCTGGGCAGGAGTCTGGCATTCAGAGGTTATGAGAGGCACACACACACACCCACCACTGTCAACAGACATAATAATCAACAGGACCAGACTTAGAGATGACTTAAATATTGAAACTTGCTGTCAGTTGTGGCCACTCTCTATGGAGGACGGATTCTCACCCCAATTTTGGTTCACATGTTGAAACTAATGAGGCCAACACCTACCAAAGGAGAGTATTAAAAGGTTTATTTTACCCACATAATGAGGCACTCTGGGAAGATCAGGACAGATTTCCCATGCAGGCCCAAAATTGACTTGAGAGAGCTGGGATAGTCCTGAGGATTCATGGTGGTAAGGGATGGCCCC